TTAGATCATGAATTTGTAATATCGGGTGTTATATACGGTATACCGGTATCTAATGGACAAATTGGGGTGCATCTCACCAATCAATTCGTGAGGCTTCCTCAAAAACGCATTACGTGACATACACGTGAAAAACCCATTTTCATGCTGTCGATATAAAGGAAACTTATTATCTAGCCGCGAATCTTTCCAATATACTGTGATAGCTACCTATAGCTAACTATAGCTACCTATAGCTAAACGTGTTTTTTGCCACATACTGTTCGACAATTTCAAAGTCATGTGATGAAAAAGTGAATAAAATAAGCGGATTCATTACAAAGAAATAAATTGTCTTGCTATCACGGTAATTATACGGTATAGTAATAGTACGGTATTGCAAAAGTTTTTTAGTTTACCCAATTCATTTAGGATATCGATATGCTAGCGTGAACTAGTAGTGTGCTTATCAGTCATCAGTCAAAAAAAGACTGGTCGATATAGTGTGGTAAAGACTCAAAACTGGACCGATTAAATAAATATCCATACCTTATGCATTATAGGTTCCCCCATGTTTCACTTTCAGATGTTTGACAGTCATGCGCAATGACAACTGAAGTTTGGGAAAGTAATTGGTTTTAAAAGGATTTTATCTTGACAAACCAAATAGCTACTTTGCTACCTGAGTGACACTGTTATAGGAGGACTGAGTACCCAATACTACTATATATATAACCCAATATATAAACTACGGTTGATCAAACGTCACTGTACACTGTAACAAGACTGACTGAACCCCAAAATGTTGCAGATTGTCAGTACTACCGCCTACCGGTTAGTCTACCACAAACAAATTTAATATCAGAATCAAAATACAAGTCTACAAAAAGCTTGACAAATCAATCACCAACTCTTATATCTATCAGAGCAAATCAACTCTTGCCCTCGGCGGGGGCGTTCGTTACGACAATGACCTATTAGTATTGCCACTAGAGTGACTCGAAGCTTCTTGGACTTTCCATTTAGTAATAACATTAAACGGAGCGAGCAGCCAATGGCGTGCGTTTTGCGAAGGGTTTGATGAATTTGTTAATGGTCTAATAGTGTATTAACAAGGACACCATTACAAATCTGTGAAAGTGGTTCAATGGATAAAAGTATGATCGGTTCAGTGGATCAAAGTATGATGAAAGCGCAACGAAAAGCAGATTAATTGTAGCAGTAAACGTATCACATGATCTAAACTCGTCATTTACTAACTAATCATCGCTTCGTGCACGAGTTCACCCACTATCTCACTACTCACTATATGATACGATCAGTCTAAAGCCACCAGTCTAATATATTACTCGCTTAATGGAACTCAGTGGGGCTGGGAACTAGTAAAACTAGAACAGAAGAAATTTGGACAGCCAATTATTTGGATGATATTTTCTGTTCTGAATTTCTGCAGAAAACTTGAAATTAAAAATAAAACCAGTAGTATAAGTATTAAATTCCAAACTCAAAGCGAGGTTTGGTAAACAGTTTATTTATTTATTAGTAATAATATTGTTGAAGATTTTTGGACCTAATAATGAATAAACAATTTGCCAATAAGTACTACTACTTACCCAATATATGAAATTAACAAATTATTGCAATCCTGAATCCAGCTTTTATAGTTGTAAAGTACTAACAAATTTGTCCAAGTTTTGTTTATGACAAATTGATACCTTGAAACACATTAATCGGAGTGGCAAACATTTGTCATTTCTTTGATACCAAACTAAACGTTTACTGGGTTAAATAACGTGTCTTCAAGACCTTTCCCTCTACTCTAAAGCTCTAACAAACTACATGGTACGTAATGTGTGTACGATCCTCGGATCCCTTATAACCACGATGGAAATACACGAGAAGAAAGGGTATATGAATTTAATTCTTAGATTCAATTCAAATTCAATGATTCCCAGGTACCTTCATCTGAAATCCTATAGAAACGCGTTCGTTGGATGCTAATTTAGCTGGATGTTAAGTACAGTTAGCTGGATGTTAAATTGAATGCTAATTAACTTTAAGCGGTATGCATCATGATGCAACCTTTTCAGGCCCTGCTACATGCTACGGGCCGATCCAATTCATTTATGAGACGTGATGTGTGATGGGTCAGGCATGTGCAAGTCATACAATAGAATTGTTTGGAATTAGGTAAAAAAACAGCGCACTGCACTGGCACAGAAGTATACAGAGTACAGAGTCCTCCATTAATGATTGTTTTAGCGTCACACTTTGGTGCAATTCATGTTCGTGATCAGCTTTAATTGGACTTGGAGGCTATTATGGGAACACCAGAACAGTACTATGTACTATCGGTACTCTTTGGGTGCACTTAATGACTTCTAGTTATTTGAGTTTCACAAACAGTGGTATTCATTTCATAGCATTTGAACCTCAGCTGATGACGAACCCTGATGATCTTATTAATATTAAACTGACTTATTAAACTTTGTGACCATGAGCATGACCAATCTTTAATCGACCCTGCCCTCTCAAAGTCAAAGCTCATATCTGTCATCTTTAAATGAGAAAAAGGGCCGGTTATAGTGTCTAGATTTCCTTGCTACCAAACACACAATCACAGAAATAATAATAATATTGCATCAAAATGATCAATGAAACTCATGTAACTGTAAGCAACTTCCACAACCATTTAAATCAATCGCCAAAACCTATCAATTTCAAATATAAACTATTCCTTGTGCACCACCGGACGGCGGACAGCGCTTGAAGACGAGTAATTTTTGATGGTTGTTTATGAAAGCTTATTTAAAGTTGTCTCGTAAGTAAAGTGGAGACAATTTTACTTTCAATTTATCGTGAATTCCAGAACGAACGGAATTAAAACATGAGAAATTCAAAAATTTTCAAGCACAGCAGATTATAAAATGTGCGACGTGCGTTAATAAAGCTCCACTTGTATGTTGTAAGACAGATAACATTTTAATTATTTATTAGAAAATTGTATACCTATAACATTGTCATTGCTTCGGTACGAGGTGTTTATAAAATAATTTGACATCCTCTTATCTCCTCAGCCAATGAAATCTCTGCAAAAATTAATATCGATATTAATTTTTGCAGAGCAGAGATTTCATTGGCTGATGAGATAAGAGGATGTCAAATTATTTTATAAACACCTCGTACCGATTAAGCATTAAGCAATGACAATGTTCTACAATTTTCTGATAAATAGTTAAACTTAAAGTATTATCTGTCTTACAAGTGGAGATTTAATGACGCGAATGTTATAATTATAAATCTTCGTGATGTGATCTGCACTACCAGAGCTATATTACTCTAAGTGATTTGTGCCCGCAGTGATGAAGAACTGTATTAAACAAATGTAATAGTAATATAAATATAAATATAATGAGTAATGACTACGAGTACGGTACGAGGTGTTTATAAACTGGCCACTGTAAATTTCTGAAGAAGAAAGCATTATATCAAGAAAGCATTATATCAAAGCAATGTATATAAATAGTTTGACTGCATCCTCTCCTCGACCAATGAAATGTTTTTTAATAAAATATAACGTGGTTTAAAGTTGCAGTTGCACTGTTAATATTGAGCGATGTTTTCTGAATAATTCGACTGCTCGAGAGTTATTACCTGGCTGCAATTGATTGTAAACGATCATGTGAATGGTGGTCACGCGCACACTAACTTCCAATGACTATGAGCATCCGTACTTTTTTTCAATGCGATGGAAGTCGTAATTCACTCAGCCCGAATAGTCTGATACACTTACTGCTTACAGTGATAGAGATTCGGCGGAATGACAGGCAGAGCACCGCCCAGTAATTAATAAATCCCAACTTGGCTAATTAATTGTATTTAGCTGGGCTATCTGAGCTGCTCTTGTCACTTAAAACTTTAGAGTTCCACGTAGGTAAGGTTCCTGTCGTTGGGTACTTTTAAGCGCACAACTCTTTTATTTGCAATCTATGTTCATTATGATGCAACATTAAAAACCCGGCATTAGCCAGCGAGGAAGGTGTTTATTTCTCAATACAGTATTAGCGGTATGTTATATAACAGATACCGAGAACATATCATACTCATAGCAACAACTTATAAAACTTATAGTTATACTTATAGTTATAGTAAAATACAAGGTTTAGTTGCAGTTCTAGTTCTACTGTGCGCTAGACTTTTAATTAAACACAGTACTGCATGAAGATATTTAAAGGTTGTAGGTTTATAATATAAGATTAGATCGGATAGTGATAAATCGGAGAGTAAACGGAAAGGATCAACTAGACAAATATGATAGATTGAAAATTGGACGCTTGGAGCTCCAAGATCCCTAAAATTGGAAAGGTAGCAGAAATAGTATTATTTAATTGACTCTCGTGACGCAGCGTGACATTGACCTACCTTGACGCGAACGTTAAATTCAATTTCAACAGTCGACGTCAATATTGGTGCTCCAATAAGAGGTTGAGACTGTATTTTCTAATTTAGTTCACCTAATCAGATCACCACGATACACCTAGATAATAGTTTATCTACCTGTATCGTGGTGATGTATCACACACTGTGTGATACTGCACGAGGCGTCTGACCACAGCCTTTTCAAACGGACTATTAATCGATAATGTTAAATAAAAACGATTTAAATGCAATGCTGGTATATTTATAAGAACTTCCTTTGATCATGGAGCATCTCAAATATGGTTATGCTAGTCTCTCTTCTTCTCTCTCGATCCAATCAGAATACCTGTCTTCATAATCTTATACAGTATACACGTGTCTCAAAACCTTAATTCTCAGTAAATAACTGATATTACATGGATTTGTGGTGGCATTTATCTATGACATTTTAAGTCTCGTACAACCATCCATTTGCACGATATCAGATATGTCTGCAACATAAACTTAAACTACAGACATATCGTGATTCGTGGTGTTTGTGTGTGATCCAAAGATTTTGCAGGCGAGACTTTTTTATTTAAGGGGAGGGGATCAAGGCGATGTTTAGTTCCCAGTTCCTAGAAAAGTAAATTCTGCTACAAATCCAAACCAACTTTTAAATCAGAGTTGCCCTTCACGAAAAATAATTTGTGTGAAAAAGTTCAAATGTAACGCAGTTATAGATTTTTTAAGAGTTGAGTTTTCAATAATAATGATATTCAAACATGAAAAAATCCTAGACAAAATGGTCTTAAGCAATTAAACGTTTCTTGACTGATTACAGCAAGGAGATCTAAATAAAATGTTGGCTAACATTTTTATTAAAGGTAGTAATAATTACTGTTAAATGTTATAATTAACAATGAATAAGAAACCAACGGTAATAATAAAGTGTCTCATCTTTTACATTAGAATACATACCTAAGTTTTTCAACTTTTCACAAAGTTCAAGTCCAAGCTTTTATAAACAGTTTCTATAAATAGAACCGGGAATATACATATTTTAAACATAAGTCCTGTTCAAGCGATACTTATTACTTACAATCTCTAAGATGTTTTGAAAATCTACAAAAAATCTTACTCAGCTAGTCAAACTTAATTCTCAAACAGTATAAATGTATAAGAAAATAACAAACCCCCTTGAAAATTGGGCTTGGTTTCCACGAATAATAATACCGCTTAATTGTTCACCGTATAAAATAAAGAGATTTATTTCTCCGTCATCATACACTCATCGAATTTACACGACAAAACTGCAAAGCAATTAACAATTTTCAATCAAAACAAATTATAAAAGAGACAATTCGTCAAAAAATGTATAATAATACGGTAGATTGGTCAAGGTGGTCGCCGGAGAGCGACTGAGTCGTGTTTTCGCTGTCCTCCCGGATCTAAACCCTGTTAGCGACTCCAAACAACTTCTGGTAGCAAGTGTGGCAATAAGGTTTGCTCTCGTGCTCCTGAAAATGATTCATCTGATCACGCGTGATAAAGTTATTAAGCAGAACATTCGGGTTCAAAACAAAACGATGTCATTCAGGTTTGGGGGAGGGGGCGGGGGAGGGGGGGGGGGGGGGGGGGGAGGGCGCGGCGGGGCTGTAACAACTAATTTTGGCTTATTAATTATTATTAGTTATTACCATGACTTATCAGCGATTAGCTTCGCCCTTTTTTGAATTGCACGTATTCAACCATCAATTTCAAAACTTCAATGTCTAGAACAAATTTGCGTTTATTTTCCCTTCGTCAAAATGAGTCGTTGTATCCCCCTTGTTTACCAGCACTAATTGTGACTTTGACAAGCATGAGCATTGAGCCTTGACACGAAATGGTTTTGGATTAAACAGTTTAATTACACGGAGACAGTTAATTCTATTTGACACTGTTTAACGTAAACTACCTCGGCTTTAAAATCTGACGACATTAAAAACTCATCATTCATTTTTTTCATAGTCAAGCCGTCAAGGTAAGTTTGCATCCCCGCCATATTTACCGCCACGAATCGTGAGTTTGACAACCATTGCTCATGACGCAAATGTTAAAAAACTGTTATGGGATTGGGTAGATTAATTAAACGTGACAGCCACGTGACACGATTTCAGGTGGATTACCTTACCTTGAAAGTTCCTTTACTAAGTGGCGTGATACAGAAGGCACAAACGAAGTGCTCTGGGTGAAACTTGTTCCTCATAGCTGTTATAACCCTGAAGATAACGAGTTTAGTTTTAGTTCATCTTAAAGAAAAGGTTCATAACAAAAACGGTTAGATCAGTCATATGTGCTCTTTAATCTCCATAACTTCAAGTCAAGTTGTTTTGGTATCTGATCTTCCAGTGTCTACCAAAATATATTCACTACGTAGAACAAGTTACAAATTTCCACAAGTAAAATTTCATTGACGTATTAACAGAGACAGAAAGTTTTCGAATTACGAACCTTCCAGAAATGGGTTTGTTGCAGGCAGCACACAGAGAGCCCCTGTGCTGGTGGTAGTGCAGTTCACAGTAGGGTTTACCTTCGTGTTCGTAGTAAGTTCCAGCTCCAAACCTGTTCTTGCATTCCTGTAATACCCACCTTATTATCATTATAGAACAGGGCTTCTAGAAATATAATACATTATTACATAGAGGAATTTAAATATCCCAAGGGTATTAGGTATTATAAAAGCTTGGGTTTATCTTTTGCTAGCTAAGTAAAGTCCTGGCAAACACTTTACTTCAGTCTTAACGACTAAACAGGGTTGTATTATTGAAATTGTTGACACTCACGTAGCAAACAAAGCACTCAACGTGCCACTGCCTCTTGAGTGCTGTTATCACATTGTTCACAATGGCCTTGTTGCAGCCGCCACACTTTGGAGCGAACATCTCATAATAATCTCTCTTACAATACGGTTTACCTTCAAACACGTGGTACCTAGTGGGGAGTTAATGTTTGTTATTTGACCCTTGAATCATCCTCAGTCGATAAATATCTTATAAAAAATAAATGATCATTTCTGTAGATATTACGTTGGTAGGATATTATAACTACAAAATGACAGTCGTTTACCAAAATTATGCAACAAAACGCAACATTATAAATGCCCCTTCTTGATGTTCGACGTTTAAAAACGTTCAAAATTTGTAATGACTCACTCAGTGCCACTCCTGGTAAAGGGTTCCTGGCAGTGTACACAGACAAAGCAGTCAGGGTGCCACGTCTTTTGAAGAGCCGTGATACATCTCTGAGGAGAATAGTGGGTAAAGGGATAACTTGTTATTTAACTGCTCCAGGGGCCTTGATTTAAGATTTGGTAACTCCCTGTAGGTTAAACATTTAAATAATTATCATCAGTTTCTCATCAACTTGTTATTTGACTGCTGAAGGGCATCATCAGAATAACAATGTAAATTGTAAATAGTTAAATAGTTTCTAGAGCCGACAACTCCTGTAGGTTAAACATTTAAATAACCAGCAGTAGGTTTCTGACTCACATCAACAATAGGCCGGTTACAGTGAGAGCAGCGCGGAGCAAACTCTGCATGGTAATCCTCCTCACAGTAGGGCATGTCATCTCGTTCAAAGAACTTCCCCATTCCCAACTCAACTCCACATCTGATACACACAAAGTGCTCGGGATGCCAGGTTTTTCCCAGCGCAGTGACCATCTGCGGGGGCGGGAAGGGGCTCACAATCGGTAGTTATTTTTAGTAAATTACAAATTTTCAAAATATGGAGGATTTATTTAAAACGAGCGTTTAAGCTATCTCAATGATATCATTTCTATTCCTAGTTGAGCAACAGCCACATTACCTTTCCGACAATGACTTTATCGCAAGCAGAGCACATCCCACGATTATTAACCCTGACTCCTTTTTTGGCCAAATCCGTGTCAAGAGAAGCCATCATGCCGTCGAGATTATCATACCTGCGGGTTAGAATTTATAAATATAATATCAAGTTAAATTTCAACCAGATCGGTGAAATTTCGACAAGCTCTGTCGTAGGATAGATTTCTTAATTTTACAGGGGTCGCCAGAATCTGTCAGCATGTCATCTCTTGGTAGTAACCAGACAGTATTAAATGCATGCCAAACGATTTATAGTCAGCTAATTAGGAGAAATTGAATAACGGTGAATAATTCTCGAAGCCTTCAACTCGCTGGCCCGCATTCCTCGTGGGTTCCTGTGCCAGTGAGCTTGGGCCTTGGAAACTGTACAGCCAGACACGGCAGACAAGGTAGACATTAGTGTCAAATGTCAATTGTTGAAAGCCCAGAAATTGAACTTACCCCTGGGTTTGGTAGGAATGTCGGTCAGCTGACGTAGAGTTGAAACTCTGGAGTGATTCCATCAGATTATCCAGATCTTTTGTGGCACTTGATCGCGCAACCTCTGAGAGTGAAGATGTAATTGTGCTGGTGGGTGGGGGGGGGGGGGGGGGGGTTGTGAATGGATGATGCCAAAAAGCCAATCGTTAAAAAAATTGGCTTGGTAAAATTTATCTTGTCAAGATGTGGTCTGACGTCACATCATACTATGTCTAGTAAAAAACTGAGTTCATAGTTTCTCATTGGACAACTTCTTTCTGCTTGTCAAGATTAAGATAAGTGCAATTTCTTGTCTTCCGATCAACTGGTTTGTGACAACAAGTTATAATCTGGTTGGTGACTTATAATGGTTTGTAGCTAGAAATAGCTTTTAACGGGAGTCAAATGTTAAGTTCGTCTGATGATATCCGCTCATAACCTTACCGCCATTATAGATACAAGATAATAAATTCATAATTTTGATGGTTATTTAACAGCATAAAATGGGTTGTTAAAGAGGAGCTAAAAGTTGGTGGCCAGCAGCTTAGGTAGTTGTCTAGGTTGTAGGAGAGATCGTTCAACCCATATTTCGACTATTTCAACACTAAACGATCCTTTAAAATATTGGCAGCTGTCCAATAACTATTTAAATTTGATAGATATCTCAACTGTCAAGTGCCAATCAAAGAATTCTATTTTAGTCACATGTTTCGACTTTTCGAGACCATTTTCCATTCCATTTATTTGATTTTTCCATTGGGCGGCCTGTCACTCCGCCATATCTGCATGCTTATAAACAGTAAAGACTGGGGTCCCCAGGTTGTATGGAATATGATAAAATACGCCATCACGGATAGGGAAATTGAGCGGCCATCCACAAAAGAAAAGCGGCCGCATTTCTTGTTTCTTTCGATTTCGCACATAAAGTCATACTTTAAAGTTTAACGTCAGGCCTGTTGATAAAATCATTTGTTACTGCCTGATGGGAAAAGGGAAATAGAGAATGTGAAAGCATAAACGCAGTGGATTAGTCAAAGTAGTTCAGCATTCAGCAATAGGAACAGTGATGGCATTAATGGTGATTATATTAATTATAAACAATATTTAAGCTCATTGCTCAATAATATTTCTGTCATATATGCTCTACTGAAATATTGGTCTGATTTTAAATTAGTCGCCGATAAATGTAGTCTCAATAAATTTGGTTTACAACAAATTTAGTCAAATTTTGACTGAATTTATGGTAGACTAAATTTGTCGTTCTTAAGGTAGCTTCCTCCCTGTCCCTGTGACCACACAATTTCTAGTATTATCATAAAGTTATATCTAGCTTATATATAATATAATGATCCAATAACAGCTTTTACGATAATTCACGAAAAAATTTAATATGAACCTGACTAATTTGACTAACCGGGAAAATCATCGTATGCAGACTGGATCTGGTCTCTCTGCGACACAGCGGACTGGGTTGAGTTACCTGAAAAGTAAACAATAATTTTCGTGATCTTACATTCGAAAATAAATATAGCTGGGGCAAATGTTTTTCTGTCGAAAGACTTTTTAGTTCTGAAATCTTGTTCAGGATTTTAGAAATGCCGTCATTTCAGCAGTTGCATTTGGGGAGATGTTTCACTATGCGTGTGAATGGAATCGTTTTGTGGCTATGGTTAGTTCAACCAACATCAAATGTAGGTTAGATTGTAGATAACCATACTACCCGACTCAGTTGCAAAACATAGCGTAGATCTGAAGACTGTGGGAAGATATTAAGGTTTTGGTTACTGACATGAGTTTAAGTGATCAATATCATGTATTACCAACATAGTGCATGGTAATCAATAGCCATCTGCCAATGCCCTCTGATTAGAGGAAGTTTACGAGCTCTTTACTTCGTTGTAAAAATATTACTCGTATCCTAAATGTTCTTTAAATTTAGTTACAGTCTTTTGCTATGCTATAATAATATCATAGAATCTAGCTAGATAGTTAGTTTTCCAGAGAAACATCGAGAAGACAGGGTTAGATACGGGTAGAATGATTCCTGCTGAATGTAAGAACTGTCAACTGACTGTGGTTTGGCAAAAATAGCTTCGAACATTATCATGTTGACTGTTAGTCGTTTTAATTATAATGTTATGCACTTCAAATTGCATAAAATGCGATGCATAATATCTGGAATGCGACACGCAGCGCACTGCGTTCATTGTCCAACTTAGAAATTATTATTTATAATTGAAGTTAAACGCGCCGCGCGCACTAATAATCAAGAATTGCGGGACAATTATCAAGAAACTTTTCTATGCGTGTTACAGTAACTGAGAGCTGTAGACCCCGAAGTGATTTACCCTCAGTTTTATTGATGGAAATGTGATGGTTTCTACACAGACAATCAGACATTTAGGTGAAATTAAACAAATCAATTACTGAAGAAGCTTCACATGAGATTTCTTTAAAGCATGTATCCTGTTAAGCAGCACAGTGATCATGGTAATTATGACAGTGGGTAGTCATGTAGGAAGTAATATAATATGCGAATTATCTTGTCATACATTATCTATCTGCTAAAAATACTATAGTGCATAAACCAGGCTTCTGGGAGATGAATATAAATTCAAGACTTAATAACGTTGACAGTGCATCGTGCACTTATTAACGTAAATCAAATCTGATAGAAGGACCGAAATATCACATTTATGTGAATTATGACACGGCTCAGCGCATTCCTTGAATAATTTTCTCAGTGGGCCGCATCGAGACATATAAAGCGACATGTTTGCACAGCTCAGAATGCTTCGCGTAACCCAGGATATAGCCATATGTCGGAATTAGTCCCGGCCTTCCATTTATAGCTTACACCAAGTGCGTACTTAAAAACTTTTCAAGTCGTGTGAAATATGCAAATACGGAAACGCGTGTTTCCTATATGGGTGAGGTCACTAATAATATAATATATAATGGTGATGACCGATGATGTCAAGTGTTAAGGCGTTGCTCGGTCAGAAGCGATCTAACATTACACTTATCTAATAGGGGCTCACCTTACAACTTGCAGAGCTTTAAGAATTCTGAATATTTGCTCAGTACTACTAACCGTTAAAGAGAATACTTTCAGGGAATCCTTTCAGAAATCAGAGAGAGAGAGAATTCTTCTACAGAATCCAACAAAATTTCTACACTCCTCGAGTAAAAAATCAAATTATGCAGCACAAATGGAGGACTCATGTAATAAGTTAATGGTACCGCATGTTGTTTAACATGTTCCCAACCAAACCTTCTACAGATTCAGACCCTAGTTTGTAAAGATAATATATTAGTAATGAACGGATATAACACACACACAGACAGGGGGTGTTAGATACACTCTGTAAGAGCTCTCGTAACAAGTAGAGGAGCCCAGATACCAGGGAGCTGACTTGTCAACATTTCAACATTGTTCAGCATGTTGAAATACTACACACTTCGTGTGGTGTCTCCCTCTGTTAAACAAGGCTGCACCCCAGGAAGTTTTAACAGCATTGGGTCTACGATAAATAGCACGTGGGAAATGGCACAGAGGGAACCTTGCAGTCTCGTAAAAGAGACATTCTTTGATAGTAATGGTAACCGTTCATGGTAGGGGGATTGCTGGGTGCATACTGCATTGTCAATTGTAATGGTGAATCCCACAAATTATTTTTGGATGGTGAGGATTGGTTTTCTTATAACTTTATAACTTTATAACGATTATGATTGAGAGATACATGTGAGTAATGGTGGGGGGGTTAGAAAGAAAACCCTAAAGTCAGAGAGCCCTAAAATACTTTAAATCTAAAAATTCATTTCCTTTTTATAACGGAAATAATGATCTTCCAAAGAGCAGGCACTACCGTAAAATTATTACTTACGATCAGGATTGTAGTTTTTCTGCACAAAGTTAAGATCGTCCAACAAGTTATCCAGATCCTCGATATTGCTTGATCTTGAGGGCTCTTGTAACCTTGCTAACTCTTGCCTGAAGAAAGGAGAGGATCATTTAGTTATAGGTTCAACTAAATAATTACAATTTTAATGAAGCAATAAGAAGATTCTGACAAATCTTCGTATATTTTGTTCTTTTTGCCCAAGCTCAAAGGGCTCAACGGTTTAACAACACAGCACGAGCGTGCATATTTTAAACTACGGTAAAGCCTTGTAATTGTCCACTGTATGCTGTTCTTTAACTAAGTTAACTAAAACTGTAGTTATAGTAGGCGAACCTAACACCTACAATACAGAGAGGTGCTTTATAACACCCCTGAATCCTAATGTATAACACCCCTGAATCCTGATGTATAACACCCCTGAATCCTGATGTATAACACCCCTGAATCCTAATGTATAACACCCCTGAATCCTGATGTATAACACCCCTGAATCCTAATGTATAACACCCCTGAATCCTAATGTATAACACCCCTGAATCCTAATGTATAACACCCCTGAATCCTGATGTATAACACCCCTGAATCCTGATGTATAACACCCCTGAATCCTAATGTATAACACCCCTGAATCCTAATGTATAACACCCCTGAATCCTAATGTATAACACCCCTGAATCCTAATGTATAACACCCCTGAATCCTAATGTATAACACCCCTGAATCCTGATGTATAACACCTTCCTTGATGCACACTGCACAGAAGTGGTGTATCTATAAAGCTGTGATCACACTCAATCACACTCACTGAAGAAGTTGAATATAGCACATTACTAAACAGTATCAAGTGTCACACCTACTATTGTTCTTACATAAACCACACAGTTTTACTGATTCTCCCCGGGATCGGGTGAAGTGACACTTGTCTCACTAAACACAACACCTCCATCAAGAGTGAAGACGTGGTGATGTTTCTTATCTTGATACGAGACCTGGTAAGTGTAGATCTGGATAATACATAAGAACTCAATATGAAGTTAGTACTATCACAGGAAGTGTGAATGTACGTGATTGTTGGAACTGTGAGTGCAGCTCACGTACATTGTGCTGTGCAGCTTTCTCAGATAACACCTACTCGATCAGTGCACAGTGAGCACACAGAGTGCAAGTGCTATCACACATCGCACATCAAGTATCACAGCTACTTTAGCTTTAGTAGTCCTCTCTGTAACTTCCCCCATTTCTACATTATTATTATTTCTCTCCAAAAAATGGCAAATTCCGCACCGTGGCTGCCGTAATAACCCCCCCTCTGACTGCTGACATACTGATATACAGCAGCGTTAGCCGTTAATTCTAGCTGGCCTATGACACCTTACTTGTGTCAAAATGCACAGAAATCCAGCTGAAATATGCAGAAATATCACGCACATAACGCCTCTCCCTGGTACAGCCCACATTCCAGTGTATAGAGAAGGAAATAGAGAGCATGTCGCTCCACCAATTAGCAAATTTGTTCACGTAGTCAAGTTTCGCTACATACTTACATATCTTTTCCTTATTCTCAAGACAAAGTGCAGCGGCGGCACAGTGTACTACACATCCAGCACTGGTGTCTAAATGTACTAGCTCCACAACATATAATATACACCCGCTAATTAGCGGAAATTATCCACACATTCATTTCAGTTTTCTTGTAATTTGTTGTAATTAACTTTAACATAATTCAATGAATTTCTGTCAGAACCCTATGAACGAATGAGAAGTACCCCACCATGTTCATGAGCTTTGCAAACTATCCTGTTAAAACTTTCAACATACTTCTCGTGGTAGTAGTGTTAGACCAGGGCTAATGACCAGGGCTAAAAGTGAGAATATGTATGTTTAATTCAGGCTACAGTTTAAAAGAACAGCGAGTAGCGGTACTGCAGTGGTACACTGTTGTAACTGCAGATGGGGTAATGCTGGTTGGTAGTTGGTACGGTTGGAACAGCTGGGTGGACAGATCAGATGGCAGGACCAGATGGCCGGACCAGGTGGGAGGTGTTGAAACACTGTAGAAGTTGGGTGGAAGTAGGAGAGTGAGGTGGGGATATAGCAGGGGTTCTGAGGTGGTGTTGGCAGCTTGACTCGCACAGGGAATGTGTCATTAATGTGGCCACTTTGCAGCACACTTTCACAGTTAAACAGAGATGTTTAGATATACTTTGTACTTGTTTTAGCTTATGCAATAGGATGGATATTACAATATTACACGAATAACACTGATATTACATGTATAACACTGATCTAAATGTAAGGGAGTTTAATAATCATAGTCAGTTGGCAATAACGCTAGAGATTTGTGTCTCCGAAGTGACGTAACGGTTCGGCAGAATTACGTTCAGGGATACTTAAAAGAGTTCTGTACGAGTTGATGATGGAACCAAGGCGATAGATAGCTCGGGGCTGGTGCGTAGGTTAAAATTCTAACGAAAACTAACGATTCAGATTACATCAGATTAACGGTGACAGTATGTTTCTTTAAAACTCTGTTCAAGACATTACATAATCTGTATTTTAAAGCTCCAACAATACATCGACAAGCCACGTCTCTCAGTAACATGTCTCTCTGCATCATTATCAATGATTACTGTATTTTATGATATTGTAATATTGAAACTAAGAAACCTTTCTTGAAACCTCAACAGTAAAGTTACCACTTCATAAAACATCAAATTAACACTTCTTTATTTGTTTTCATTAGGAAACGTAACATTAACACTTTGTTTGTTTTTTAGATAGTGTGAAAATGCCTTCTCTCAACAGATTGAGAAGCATAAAGCTTTCGTTTTTTATAAAACTTGAGCAGCCTAGAAAAAGAAACTCTATTACAATACCTTACAAATTCCTCTTAAGATTTACACAACATGTGTTCAGACACACACAGTTTAATACACTTATTACATGTAAACAGATACCATGGAAATGTTGTGTTTAAGTTACACAAATTATAAGCTATTTAGCAGTGTATATAATATATATAAGTTTATGTTACACGAATTATTGTACATCTCAAACTAATCCGTTTGTCTAATCCTTATTTTAATGTAACAGCAGGACAGATCACTTAAACATTATAATAGATAATGATAATAATTCGTAGAGTTACAATGGGTATTGTAAATAATTAATTGGTGTTAACAGTTAAAATTTGAGATTGCATGTAAGACTAGCTGGTATTTAAAAGACAACAGCGACAACATCCTTCCTAGTCCTACTATAACAGCTGTAAACTAATAGCGGCGTGTGTAGGACTATGTACTAAATTCCTAACACTAGTTCTACTAGTACTACACGTCCCTTACAGTTACAGCCCATTTGTTTTATGAAGCCTAATACACACATTTACAATATTTTGAGTTCAGCTAGTCAAGTATAGAAGGTGTAACTAGATTACATTATTTCTTGCCATTAAAAATCGTAGGAACATCGGATCTTGTTAGGTTTATTTTATAATAATTGCGTTTGCTGCCACTTTGGTGTCGATACGGATGTCAATGTAGCGATAATCGATCATAATCTACTCAATTTGGACCGGAAATGTCCATTTTGAAGAATGAGACAATTATCCAAATTCCACTACTCGGCTCACTGTGTAACAGTAAGTTCAAACTAGTCACATTCCTCAGGTACCCAATCTTGTAAGGATCAGATATTTATTAATCCAGAGAATAAAATGCAGGATTTAATGACAGGATATTTCAGGTCTAACTTCTTTATAATCACGAAGCCATAAATTTTATCAGCAATTTGTTGTCATGCCATCATTACAATATACGTTAATTTGCACAGTAACCACAGACCTTCATGTCTAGGTGAATGACTAGAAATACGCATCTAAAAACAAGGAACACCGACTACTCTACTCAACAATCGTCACCCGAATGTTAGTGTAACATAGTGTAACATTGTTACAATGCAATCTGATACGGCGTGAAGGGTGTGTACAGTGTCCCCGTATCTCCACATTTAATGCGAGCTATTTTATGGAATGTTTCAGGTCTCCGCGAGACTCGAAGTGACATACTTCACTGATCACAAAGCCCAATAAGTTACACAGTAACGGACGGATATATATCGAATGTATTTACTTTTAGCAAACTTTCACCTTCACGATCCCCGGTTACAGCTACAGTTTACAGCCATATATGTACAATTTGCCAAATAAAAAGACAGAAGTTTTAACAGTGTCAATGACATGTTTCTGTAGAATTAAACATTATATATAATATCCTATACTCTGCAGAACTCTAGGGGCCACGCCTAATTTCGTATATATGTAATGACTCAGCAACAGTGTTGGTTGGTCAGCAGTCAGCACACATGAAAACACTCGGATGATTTAAATAACAAAGTCGGCATATTTACCGCCTAAAAATAAAAATGACATGTTGATATTGAAATGTGTAAGAATTACTAACGTGTAATCATCAGAGGTATCATGGTCAACACCAGACTTGGCATCTGCAACACTAGCATAAGATCCCCGCACAGACTCAGAGTTAAGAACTTGAGGAGATAAGGCCCTGAGGGGAACAGGGGCAGTAGGGGGAGGCGGTGCTGGCTCGGAGGGGGGACCCCTGGCTACTTCACCTAGTGGCTGCTGTGCTTTGGGTGTTGAGTTGGCGGGACGGAATGGCTCTGAGTAGACCGGAGACGGCTCAGGAGGGCCGGTGTTCGTTGAAAATTGTAGATCAGCTAATATTGCATCTGAAAGAATGTTGATTTATTATATCATAAATGTGGACTATGTGGACTATGGTTTATCAAATATTTGTAGATCTATTTATTATTCTATTCAAGCACGTGCCAGAGACAATATTAGTACAACTCACAAAAGAAATCAAATGATAGTCTAGGTTTAAATTGGAGAACAATAGAATAACAAGAATTTCGCCGCGGTTAAACCACGCACGATCAATTTTCCCTACGATGTACTTGTACCATTAATTCTTTTGAGTGAAAAGTGTGGCTGGAAAAAAGTACACCATATTTACATACTATGTTTTTTATAAATGAGTGGGATTCGTGCATGGTAAAAATTGACGATTTATTTGACCAATGCAGCGCCGCGCATCAAAAAAAAGGATCCAGAAAATTGCGGAAAATAACTTTGCGAAGGAGGAATTTCACTGTAATTAATTAACACATGGCTAGCGTCGCGCGCAGCATAACAGATGCTTCCTATACACTTAATTTTAGGGGATTGGTCTATATTGCGAAGGAGCAGACTTTTGTCATCATCGCAGGTCCATCGGGCCACCTCATATATCCAAACCCGATTACTTATTCCCTACGATCTTTTTGCCTTCGGCAAGAGTAGGGAAAAAAATTCCGACGAATACAAACCTAAATCATCCATCTGAGTTCAGCTGAGCTAAGCTAAGGAAGTTGTATGATTAAAACTATGATACTGTAAAGATCGAATATTGGAGTATGTAAGATTAAGATCGAAGCAATTTTTGCATAATTTGAAATTAAGAAAGTACAGTAAAACCCTGATATACCATGCCCCGATTTACCGCAAACCCCGACTTACCGAAGCCAATTCCTTTCCCCCAAATAGGGCTTAATATACATAGTGTAAACCTAACAAAACCCCGATTTACCCGAATTAACACGGATGTTTCCTTTCCCCAAACTCTGCAGAAAATCGGGGTTTTACTGTAGCTAGTTGATAGGGCGAAACAATAGCTTTAGATAATAAAAATGTCCATAAAAGCAACCAAATTAGCAACCAAATTAAAAATATTTAGTGTGACTACAATGTGACCACAATGTGACCACAATGTCCTGCACCACACTCAAACACATGTGCTGGGAAAATGAAGACCATGGAACAGTCTGTTACATAACACAATAGAATAGCCACACTAACCATGGCATGTCTAAACTGTTTATTTATGATTCTTAAGTGAGCAAGGCCACGAAATGTACTCACCTCCAGTCCTTATATATTTTTTTTGTTGTTGGGGACTGGCCCGTGGTACCAGCCAATGTTTACTCAAAAAAGTATATATAATATCAATGGTAATAAGAAATTCATCCCCGTGGGGCACATGCATAAATATAAAATGTAAAGGAAATCTCAAACTATTCAATTTAGACTCTACCGGTAAAGTATGCAAGGAAGGTTTATAACTTAAAGTTTTATTTTCCAATGGTTAATAGGTAAAGATTAAAAAAGTAAAACAAGACTGAGCACTTCAAAATTTGTAGAATTTGCAACTTGATTTGAAATACGCGGCGATAATAAAAAAATGTCCAATGTTTGCAGTGTAATTTATGAGATATGCGACGTTTATTGAGTGATGCATAAGTGTGTGCATATAATCTAAGATGTAGAGACAAGGTTATTATCAGCATTTTGGTTTATGTTACGCTTTGATTTTCTTAGTCCTGTTATATAAAATAACATAAAATTAGGCCATTCGTCTTCGATGTTTTCATTTTGCTGATCGATGAGCATAGTTTTTATACAAGTTTTGTAAATGTTCACGTTAAATAGACTAGGCGGGGAAGTTGCTGCAACATTATATCGGTTTATTGCTAATAATGGACCTTTAAAAAAAAGATATAATATCGCCTAATATTCAAAAACATGATAAAGCTTCTACAGTAGCCTTTGTGACATCATTTCTGTTGACTGATCTGAGAACTCAGAACATAGCAGCGTTAGTTATGGATATAGGTATGAGAGTGGTGCAGTATCTTAAAAAAGCGAATTTGAAGTTAACCTCATATTTCAAAAACAGAGGCAAATATCAAAATTCTGTACGATAGAATTGTGGGTAACAGCCCAAGGAAAACCTGTACCAAGTTTCAGGTCCTGGGTGTGGCCAGTCTTTTCCAAAAGTTGAGCTTTATCTGTAAAACAGATATAATATTGAGTTAAAGTTTAAGTTTGACTTGTTATTACAGGTAAACCTCAAACTTTAGGGTGCAATATCTCAGCAACGCAAAGTCAGATTTTAATGCCGGAAAATTATTTTAAACCTGTAATGTTGTTTTTGAAACTCATTTCATCTCCTGGGCTAGTTGATTTCAGTTCTTCACCTAACTCGATTTGTTCCCAACCTTAACATCGAAGTAGACCTTTCCCCATGAGTTCCCCATTATTTACTAGTTATAAGCTTCCAAATATGTGCATTCTTATTGTCTAAAATCCCCTAGAGTCAAATTAATTTAGAATTTGGCGATTGACCTTAATTTTACTTGTTCCTCAGATGTTGGTCCTTTGAAGGAAAACAAAATTTTAAGGAAAACAAAATTTAAATTTTATTGCCATTACAATGAATAATAATATCATAATAAATATAAGTAAACATCCGATAATAAACTTGTTAGAACCAGTTTAGCCCAAGATGCGCTACTAGCAAATAAGAAGAACTTGCAGGTTCATGGTCCTTTGAACACGCATACATATAGCATAGGCCATACTGATTTAGCTATAATTCTTCGTCGTATTTGATATTAAAAACTCTACATCATCTTTAAATACAAAAACAAATTTTACCAATTGAATAATAACAACATGACAGTCAATATGCAATATAACCGAAAATGTTCTTATCGGAAATATATAAACTCGTAAAGGGATTTTATTTTTAATTCTTATACTGCTGGCTGCAACTTGTGCAGGGCACGTATAAGTTGGTCGTTAGAAAAATTTAATTTTTAGTAATCAGTTAATTATTTATTCATAATCTTAACTTACGCAACTTAGAAATTATGGATCGCACAATTGGTAGTACAATGTAGCGCAGCGCTACTCGTTGATGTACTGCAGATTTCTAGTGTGTGAAGAAATTAGAAATTAGAAATTAGAAAATTAGAAATTAGAAATTAGAAAGATCATTACAAAATTACATGTGTCAGATCCCAATCAGTTAAATGAAAGTTATACAACCAAACAAAATAAAAACATAATATCTTAAATAAATAATTAAAAGGTTTCAAATTGTGCACGAAATAAGGATACTAAGTCATAGCTTACTTTTAGGAAATCTTTCACGAAATAGATTATAAACAAAATTTCTGGTCTCCAAAATGTAATCTTCATTAAATAATTTACTGAATTGACTATTTGTGAGTATGTTGTGAAGGTCTGTGCTGTTTCTTTGTCTGATCTCCTTGTAGACAGGACATTCTTTAAGCAAATGGACTTCGTCTTCTTTAATGATGTCACTAAACGGGAGCTCGTTCAGGAGGTCTATGGTGATTCTGTCTGAGCTGCAGCAGAAGTGGCAAGCTCTGTAGAAGATGCTTGAGTTTTTCCAGCCATATCGCCCCGTCTCGATATTAAGTTTGTGGGAGCTTGTCCTCAGCCATGTAGTACATCGGGTTTTCTTGTGATTGGGTAGAGACAGGTATGGTTCTAATCCAAAGCTGCTTTTGACTTCGTTGTAGAATGTAAGCTTTTTGTTTTCAAGTCGAGCTTTTTCCCACTTTTCTTGGAACCAATTTCTCATTCTACTCCGAACGAGTTGGCTGTTCGGCATGGGAGCATTCTTCGAGACAATTGTTCGTTTAATTGCTCCTGGGTCAAATGCGTCGGTCAGCGCTCTTGATGTTCGGAACCAGGTCAGTTCTAGGTTTCTTTGCTCTACAAAAGCATGGCGAACAATCTGTGGTGAGTTTTTTCTGTCAAGGAGGACGAGTCTGTTGTGGAAGTCAAGAAAGAGCTTACTCAATTGTATTCCAAGGGGATATCTTCCTGTGTCTCCCCATATCGGGATATTTGAAGTTCTCTTGTTGACCCCAGTCGTCCATTTTAGCAGCGAGAGATGCAGGCGCTCGATGCTGTCATTCGCTAATTGACTGAGTGTGTCTTTGTCAGACTGTGTTTTCTTCTGGCAGATGTTGCTGAGAATGTTGGTATAGGGGAGCCACACCTGACTACCGTATGAGACGACAGGAAGTATAGTATAAGGGCATCGAAGAGTTTGAACACAGCCTCTTTAGAAATTGAGGAGAGATCAACCGTCTTTTTCAGGGAGAAGTATGCTCGAAGTCCTTTGATCCTGAGCTGCTCTTGGTTAAGCTTCATACTGCCACATATTGTGAAATGAGTACCTAGGTAGCAGTAGCTTTTGACCGAGGGGATTACAATACTTCTGCCGTAGGTAAATGTTTTACTCTCGAGTAACTGCCTTCCAGAGGGATTGAAGATGATGACCGCAGTTTTCTTAATGTTAACAATCAATCCCCAGTTATTGCAAAATATGTGGAGTTGGTCAATCATTAGCTGAAGACTGACCTTGTTAAGGGCTAGCAGGACCAGATCGTCCGCCCAAAGCAGGTGAGTAATCTGTTGGTTGTTGAGTTGGGGACTTTCCACTCCAGGTAGGGCGTTAATCTGGAGGGAGAGTTCGTAGATATAGCATTTGAAGAGTTCTGGGCTCAAGGGGTGGCCCTGTTCCGTTCCTGCATTAACGTCAAAACAAGCTGAGAGCTTTTTAACCATTTTAAGCCTTGCTTTTGAGTTTCTGTACATGTATTGGAGGCAGTCAAAAAACCGCCCCTGCATGCCAAGCTTATTTAGTTTGTACAATAGTGCTTCTCTTGATACCGTGTCGAACGCTTTCTGAAAGTCTACAAAACAGCTGTAGATTCTTTTCCGTTGGACTTTTACATATTTTTCAATACAGGTGTTAAGTGATTTACTGACCACAAGTAACCCATACATAATCTATACCTTCAACTGATCACCTTATGCTATAACTTTGGAAGTTAATACCGATCCTGATAGAGCAGTTACAGTTTGTTATATTCCTAAAGGATTAAATTGTCATCCTAATTCCTGTGCCCTGGCTAGAAGTTTTTTTGAATCAATAAGTTTTTTATATGTTTAGTGTTTACCCAGTAATTCCTCAGTTACAGTAACAAAGGAGCCTTGTTAATCGAGCCCACTGATCTCCAAACAATTCTGACCACACGGACTAATCACCTTCGCTCAGTAATTGAGGACTTTAGTTTTGGATTCAAGTTGAACTTTACTTTTAGATTTCGAACCAATTTTGAACTACCTTGATGGCGATTGTCGATGGTTAACCTGACAACTTCTGTTGATACATTTTTTTTCTCCTTATTATATTTTCAGAAACTTTAAGTACCTTGTTTTATTTGGTCTCCTTCCAGATAAAAATGTCAACTTATACCTTCATACTGAATTCCATGTATCTACAAGTTGCTTGGGTTCGATAGCTTCCCGAGTAAAGAGTATCATCGGGATAAGTTCCATAACATCAGACACATACAAATTCAATCGATGGTGAAAAGGATCCTTGTGCTACATTAAGTTAATGTCATCCGAATTTAATGAAATGCTAAACACTAAACAAATAATATAACTTCTATCAAGACATATCATGAATCTAAGCTG